CCCCCCCCTTTTTTTTCTAGTAACTTTTGGTTACTTTGTTCTTTCTTTTGCCCTCCTTTTGCCTCGGATGCTCTCTTGAATTTTATTTTATTTTTTAGCAAGCATCCGTGTAATACACGGACATTGTACTAGTATGAACTTTAATGCAAAAATAAATGATAAATCAATAACAATAAATCAAAGGGAGATGCTACAGTCCAGTTACGGAATTTTTCCGTTGGGATTTGTAATTGTTAGATCAACTATCTCTGATGGTTACATGATGATCTAACGGTACAAACCCCAACGAAATGCTTCCGTAACAGAACCATAGCATTTCCCTATATTAAAATGAGTAACTAAAATAAAGATAATTTTTCAAAGTAAAAGCTCAAATTTAAAAGCCCTCCCTCACAGCACAGGAGAAACTTGTGCATGACAAAAGTCACCACTTCAAATTTCGAAGAGAAAAGTTGCATATCATCATACTTTCCATGTTCTTTTTGAGAATTAAATTTGCATGAAAAAAATAAATTGAAATTAATAATTTGCCTTTTGCATGACCTCTTATCCCTCTATATATTAATTCAACTCGTTGAGCCTACGTGGCTGCTTTTGGTACTTCAGAATCCTATATCGCATACATGTTTCGTTATTAGACATGAGTAAATTTTAATTTAATTCCAAACCAAAAATAGTTAGGTTCGGATTACCATAAATATGTTGATTATATATGGTCATGTTACATGTATTAATTGCATTTTAATATCATTCCTTATTATAACTATTGAATTGTATATATATTTTAAAAGTTAATAACTTTAGTATTTTTTATCAGTTTTACATATGTATATCAAATTAATCTTCTTTTGATGAACTTCGATTTAACATCCATATTGTATGTATAAAAAAATAATTTATATTTATCGTTATAACAATAATAAAATTATTTTTAATATTAATTAGAAAAATAAAATTATTTATCAACTAATATATTTATATTTCAAGTAGTTATATGATATAAGTTATAAAAACAAATATAATATAACAGATGTAAGTCATAAGTAACACATATCATTCTAAAATATATAGTAATATATTTTTTTTGTAAAAAAATAAACTAAATTTAATATAGTTTTCTCATTAATTTTAAAATTTAAGAATAATTTTTTAACAAACACCCGTGTAATACACGGGTGTTGGTACTAGTATATATATACATTTTAAATTATCATGCATAATTT